TAGGAGGATCAAAGTTGTGATGGAGATATGCCAGTCCTTTTGTAGTTCCAATAGAAATCTTATAGCAGATATTCCGACCTAAGCACGTTTGTAGATTGTTTTTATGCAAAACACTATGAAGGCTTCCATTTTCCATGTACCTGTTGATGGTTAGACCAAACTCGTCACCTATCCAGAAGCCTAGGCATCTTGTCACATTTTGATGCTTAATCTTCCTAGTCATTTTATGGTATTTCAAGAGAGAAAAAGTATATTTCTCATTCATGTGTTTTCTAATGTACAAATTGAGGTTATATATACAAATCAAGGGAGGTAAAACCTAATAAATGCTAATAAAGCCTAATAATGACAATGAATGCTAATTATTCACAATAATGACACAATATTCCCACACTCCCCCTAAAGTTAGATCATAGGTGCTAATCATGTCTAACTTGCTTATAGGACTCTCAAAGGCAAGCTTAGGTAGTCCTTTAGTGAACACATCAGCAGCTTGTAACTTAGTAGGTAGGTATGTCAAACATACAATTCCTTTCTCTACTTTCTCTCTGATAAAATGCCTATCCACTTTAAAATGCTTAGATCTCTCATGTTGTATAGGATTTAATGCCGTGCTTATGATAGCCTTGTTGTCACAATACAACTTCATTGGTGGATCAATTCTGACTTGTATTTCTTCTATGACCCTTCTTATCTATAGTTCTTCTATGATTACTTGAGCTAATGCTCTCAATTCTAATTCAACACTGCTTATGGATATAACTCTTTATTTTTTACTTTTCCAAGTCACAAGGTTTCCCCACACAAATGAGTAATAGCCAGAGATGGATCTCCTGTCTCTATAGGTCCCCCTAGTATGCATCTGTATAGATCTCATTCATCCTCTGATCATGCTTCTTGAATAGCAATCCCTTACTAGGTATACCTTTAAGGTATTTGAGAATCTTATATACAGCTTCCAAGGGTTTCTTTCTTAGATCACACATGTATTGACTTGCTACATTGACAGCAAATGCAATATCTGGCCTTATATGGGATAGATAAATTAACTTTCCAGCTAATCTCTGATATTTGTCTTTATCAACCGTTTATTCTTTTTCATTATCTTCTTTTTCTTCAACCTCATTATCAAAGTTGTCTTCTCCTTTTAACTCCTCCTTGCTATTTTTCTCAAGCTTCTTCTTTCTTAAGACCATAATAGGAGTTTCCTCAGGTTTACAACTTAACATGCCAATTTCCTTGAGAAGATCAAGTACGTACTTCCTCTAAGATACATATATGCCTCATTTTGACCTCGCAACTTCCATCCTAAAAAAATACTTTAAGTTCCCGAGATCCTTGACTTCAAATTACTTACCAAGGATAGTCTTCATCCTTGCTATTTCCCCAACATGATCTCCTGTAAGAATTATATCGTTTACATACACAATAAGGATGCACTTCTTAGCTCCCTTAGCCTTAACAAACATTATATGATATGATAATCCTTGTTTATAACCTTCTAACTTTAGGACCCTTGAGAACTTGTCAAACTAAGCTCTAAGTGATTGTTTTAAGCCATATAAGGATTATTTTAGCCAGCATACTTTGTCACTTCTGCCTCTATCAAACCCTAAAAGTAGAGTCATATAGACTTCTTCCTTTAATTCTCTATTTAAAAGGCATTCTTGATATCTAGTTGATGAAGTTGCCGTTCAAGATTGGCTGCTACTGACAATAGAATTCTAATAGTGTTTAGTTTTGTCATTGACGCAAACTTCTCATTGTAGTCTATACCATATGTCTGGGTGAAACCCCTTGCTACTAACCGTGCCTTTAACTTGTCAAGTGTGCTATTAGCCTTATATTTTGGGATAAAGACCTACTTGCAACTAACTAGGTTCTTACCTTTAGGTCTCTCAACAATCTCCCATGTTCCATTTTTCTTTAAAGCTCTTATTTCCTCCATAATTGCATTTCTCTATTCTAGTATTTCCAGTTTCTCTTGGATATTGTTAGGAATAACAACTTTATCCAAATTAGTGATAAAGGCCTAGTAACCAGGAGGGAGAGCCTTATATGATACATGCTTTTAAATCAGATGTAAAGTACAAGTACAAGGTTGTTTTCGGAGAGCAAGAGGAAGATCAAGTTCAGTAAATTTACTTGTTCTAAATCATTTGGCTTACTAGATAGATCATTTCTTAGTACTTTAGATTCAAGAACTTCCTCTGATTCTGACTCTCTTGGTGCCTCAAATACAAGTTACTTACTATTTTTTGATTTCTTCTTTCGAGTATAAACCAATAACTCTTTCTTTTGTAGACTTTCTACATCTCCCTTTGTTTTCTTGTTTTCCCTAAACTTTGGCATAAGAGAAGAGGTTGGTAAAGGTAGGGTGTTTGATGGAAAATATGGTGAGGGTAATGGTTTTAGTGAGGGCTCAAGAAGTATATATTCTGTGTAAGATGCTAGATCCTAAGTCTGAGATTAATCTATACTCTCCCCCTGAATTGAAGAATTAGAATAAAAGGGAGTTTCTTCATGAAAGGTAACATCAAGGCTTATAAGGGTGTGTTTAGAAACAGGATCAAAACATTTGTATTCTTTTTGAGTAGGAGAATAGCCAAGAAAGATGCACTTGATAGCTCGAGGTTCGAGTTTACTGTTTTGGTGGATATGAATAAAGGCTATGCAACCAAATACATAAAGCAAAAGTTTGGTTTCAACGTGGGATGTAGGGAAAAACACTTTGCAATTTTTGGAGAGGAGTTTCAAAGGATAAGATTTGACTGGGCATTCAATTGATGAGATAAGTCACGATTAAAATGGCATCCCCCCCAATAAAACTTCAACACATTGCAAGTGAACATGAGTGCTCTAGCAACTTCAAGGATATGTCTATTTTTTCTTTTTACGACCCTATTTTGTTAAGGGGTATAGGCACAAATACTTGTATGGATAATACCATGCATCTAGAGGAAATGATTTAAAGACTGGTTGAAGTACTCAATATCATTATCAGTGTGTAAGACTTGAATGTTGGTATTAAATTGGTTTTTGATCATGGTAAAGAAACTCATGAATGTGGAAACAGTCTCAGACTTGTTCTTTAAAAGATAAACCTAACAAATATGAGTATGGTCATTAATGAAGGAAATGAACTATTTTGTTTGAGTACGATTTGGAGTACGAGATGGCCCCCACAGGCCATTATGTATAATTATGAAAGGTTTAGTGGGTGTGTATTTGGCTCTAAAAAGAAGAAGTTTAATGGTGTTTGGCAAGTTCACAGACCTCATATTAGATTTCACTATAATTCAAGTTAGGGCATAAGGTTGGAAACACTCGTTGAAGGTAATGAAAATTAGGATGACCCATTATTTTATGCCATAACATGAAATTATTAATGTTAGAGGTAGACACAGAATTACCAATAATAGGTGAGTTATCTACTCGAGTGACGACCTCTAAATAATAGAGTCCCTCGTATTCCTTGGCACTGCCGATTGTCGCACCAGATGGTAAGTCTTAAAACACACAATGGGACATGAGAAATTTAGCAAAACAATTTGACTGCCTGGTCAATTAACTGATTGAAAGCAAATTACAATCAAGTTTTGGCACATGGAGAAGAGATTCTAAAATAATATAATCTAATATACGGATACTCTCTTTCCTTACCACAAGTGTTAAGGAGCTATCTGCAATTTTGACTTTAACATTTCTAACACATGGGGTATAAGTGGTAAACAATTGATGATAGTTAGTCATATGATCAAATGCCCTAGAATTCATAATCCATACTGTAACACTTGCCCCAAGTGTTATCCAAAAATCACACAATTCAAATAAGCTAAGTGTGGTTAAGGAATTAATCCTAAAACCAACTTAGGAAACAAACCATTTAAATCACTAAACAAATACACATTTGCAAAGTAAACATTTAAAGCCTTTTAAAAAATTTATAGGTTCTACCTATAGCACACGGAAGCAAGTTAGGCGAAAGAAGGGTAAAAATATGTTGTCATGACAGCATTTTGTCATGACAGCACTCCCGAGTCAACTTCAGGGAGGCACTGTTCTGTCTTTCTATCTCCGATCGAAGAAATTTTAAAGCTTACATGTTACATTCAAAGGGTACTATAAGTGAACCAAATTTTAAAAAGATCCAACGATCGGATTAAAAATTTGACATGTTACAAATTTGGTCACTTTTGCTGTCATAACAGCTAAAAAGCTGTCATGACAGCACTTCCAGACCAACTTTCAGAGTGTACCATTTCATCATCCGACCTCCGATCGGAGTGATTCCAAAGCCCACATGTCACTTTTAAAGAATACTATTAGCATACCAAATTTTGAAAAGATCCAATGGACGGATTGAATTTTGTGCAGGTTGAAATATCACTACTGTAGCTGTCATGACAGCACCTCCAGGCCAAATTTCAGAGTGCGCCGTTTCTCCATCCGATATCCGATCGACATGATTCCAAATCCCACACAAAGCTTATAAAAGTTTTTACTTGTGACCCAAATCTTAGAGAAATCCAATGGTTGAATTAAAATTTGGATACCTGGATGTAAAAGTGCAGCTTTTTAGTAAAAACCATTTTTAAAATTGTCCAAATCTCATCCTAATGGTCACAAACCTGTGGGAACACTTTGGATACGTCAAATAAGACTAAAAATACCTGATAGAACATTCAAATGATGGAAAACTCCTATACATTAAAATTTGACCACCCAAGTGCCATTTCTCAAAATGGATCCTAAACCCCTCAAAATGCACAAATTATATAAGGGTGGTCACAAATCAATCCAAATACCATGTATTTATATAAATACATATGCTAAACATTTTTACTTGGCTCAGAGCTCCTTGTGGGGCCCACACACCCACTCTCTCTATCCAAGGTGTATGCTTGCTCATAGCACACCATTTGCAATGCAACCACTTTGCATTTACTTATAAAATCACATATATATATATATATATATCAAAATAAATATCTGCTTGTAATAGAAACTTAGTCTACTAAGTAAATCCATCAAAACCACACACCATAACCAAGTTTCCTAGCCACAAGTTTACAAATAGACAAAAATTCATACACAAGCACACAATCCACACCTATTCACACACACATACATAATCATATCCTACCGACACCCTAATCCTAAATACATTACAATATATTTGCTCAAAAGAAAGGGGTTACAGTTGTTTACAAATCACAAGCAAACCCCTAGCTTTGCTCTTTTCCCCGTCCACCACTGGATCCTTCGCCTAAACCTGAAAATATTGAAAAGAAAGGGGTGAGACAACTACAGTCTCAGTAACAGAGAAATTCACATTGATTATTACAAAGTAAGCCATAATCAAATAAACGAATAATAAATTCAACATAGTATATAATTTAGCCATTTAAAATGTATGAATGCATGACATAGGCCGGTATGGCCTTTCATGACCAACAGAATGCCCCTGGCACTCTTTAACTCGCAGGTAAACATTATGCTTACTTGTACCTTCACAGGCACAAAACAAAATCTAAGACATGATCTAATTCACCGAACCTCCTATGCCCCTTCAATGTGAATCCTAAGCAGTTGAAGCTAACTCCCTCCCAGAGCCAGCCCGACTTACTCTCTATGTGAAGGCTACCTTGACCTAGGCACTCAATCTCACACTTCATATGTCAGATTTTCTCTCCCACTAAGAGCTGTCGAACACTTAATACATGAACCACTTTAGTACACTAAGCCCACAATACGTAAGACAATACTGAGTACTGACAGTGTGCCATAGAATATCAAAAATCCACTCCTTCTCATTGGTGAACTCCCATCGAGATCATGCCTTTTACTCTTGTCTACCTTTCCTAACTATTGACCATTCAACATTTTAAAGTAGTATAACATTTATAAATCTCGTTTCCATAAAAACATTGTTATTAAACAATTAGAAAACATATTTGCACTATAATCAAAGTAGTATCCCATAATTCCTTATAAAGCACATTTAATCTTTTAAAACATGTAATGCATGATAGCTAGTAATATTTATTCGAAAATAACTAAAACAAAGTAATAAGAAATATAAATTTCCCTGTTACTTTAACCCTTTGGTACCAAAAAAGTTCCTTTTGTACAAAATAGAACTTGGCTTGTTCCTTAACTTCTGAACAAATTCCACTAACAATCCCTACAATATATAAGTGATCCACATCACTTATTTTGACAAATAACATTAATGAAGACTATAACTCATACCACACAATTTGGATCACTGAGTCATAATCCATCCTAATGGTCCATATATTAAACCAACCATTCACATAGTATCATTTAACCACCAAAACCATTTATTAGCCATTATTAGGCTAATTTCCAATTTATATAATTTTAATCAATTAAAAACCTTTATTTAGTGCCACCAACTTTCACCATTAGCCCTTATAATGAAAACTAAACCTTAATTTAAATCTTATTGGGCTCAAATAGTAAAATTATAACTAAATCAATAAGCTTAAACTATTGAAGAGCAAAACCCAATCTCTTAGGGTTTAATTTGTGCCCAAAACACCTCTTTTCATCCAATTATCTACTCAAAACATTAGATCACTATATAGAAACTCAAAACATCCTCTCTAAGATACAAAGAAACAAAAGCTTACAAGAATAAAGCCTTTGGGATCAAAATTCAAAAATTTTCTCTTCCATAAATTGAAGAAAATCAAGAGAAAGAGAAGAGGATTAAAATAGGGAGTTTACCTATCGTGTAGCCGAGCTCACAACAGTCGCAAAGACTCCTAGATCCAAGCCTAACTCCATCCCTTTCTCTTCTCTTCTTCCTCTCTCCCTCTCATACGTTTCCTTTCCTTTCCTTTCTCTGCGTTTCTGCGCCTGTTTTCCCTTTATAAAAACTGATCTAAAAGTTTGGGGAAAATTACAAGAAAAGGCCCAACATTTTTTATTATAGCACAAAAGCTTGGGTTAACTTTGGTAATTTTTTTCATAGTTAAAAATCAAATAAAACCAAACTTTTGCTGAGAAAAATTCAAACTCTAGACCTCTATGAAATTATTCTAAATTTTAATTTAATTATAAATATTTTATTTTATTTTTTTAAAATAAATTTGAGTCTTAAAATTTTTGAAATGTTACACATACCACTGCACTTCAAGTTGTTTTTAAAGCTTGAAGAAAGGAACCCCTTTTTGCCACTAATGCTATAGGTGCAAATCTGGAAAAATTAGTCACAACACTATAGAAGAGTATATATAGCACTTCAAATAAGGGAAAGGCTTCATAATAGACTAAAAATAGAAGCCATAACCCAATATAACTCCAAACTTAGCAAACTAGGGCATTAACAACACCATATGACCTGATATGGTTCAAAAAAGATGTACCCATACATCAGATTGTATTGGATTTGGCCGGAGAGAGTGCGTCGTCACAGTTTGAGAAGATCACATCCAGAATGAAGTCGCTATACGTCGCCGAAAGCTTACTGACGTAGTTCGTAGGGGTGGCACGTGTGGTCCACATGCGCTGCCATTTGTTGTTGCGATCCTAGGTTTTGTCATTTAGAGCCTCTTAAGTACGTCTAGGGTGGCAATGAGATTCAAAACTCGCTCTACCATTGTCTCACGTACTGTTCAGAAAGTCTCATTCTAGCCATTCTAGAACTAACCTAATTTGAATTTTTGAGCCTGATGCTTTGATACCATGTGATATTTTGAGAAGGAAAAAGTATATTTCTCATTCATGTGCTTTCTAATTACAAACTGAGGCCATATATACACATCAAGGGAGGTAAAACCTAATAAATGCTAATAAAGCCTCATAATGACAATGAATGCTAATTATTCACAATAATGATACAATATTCCCACACATTTCAACTTCTCTAACCATGTTTAATTTCCTCCTCTTGCTCCATGCAAACTTAACTTTCTTAACAACAAAAACACCAAAATCAAATTTGGCTTTATAAACAATTACATGCCTACCTTCGCCGATTATATATTGATCGTCTAGATTCTCTGTAGTATCATTTATCAGGTCACTAATTCTAAAATCACCTATATCACTTGAATATGAAGCCTCTAACTCATTACAAAAAGCGTTCTCCTTCAGTGTAGATGTTTGACCAAACTCACAGATAAAATATTGCCCATAATGAGTAGAGACCTCCTCCTTAGAACTTCTGTTAAAGAGGTGGCCATCTTGAGATATTTCACGACACTGACGGTCATAAATTAGGAGTATTCTTGACAGACAAATGACAAACCATATAAATCCAAGTGCTATAAATAAAATTGAACATTTACTGCCTTTATGGGTAGTTGATTTAGAGTCACATGGCTTCAAGAGGCTAGAGTTTCTACAAGTAGAGCCATTTGAGGTTGAACAATAGACACAAAGGCCAGCATTGCCCAAGCATGACGATAGAGATAAATTCAGACGTTGCATTTTCCATTCTGGTAAAGGACCAACAAATGAGTTATATGATGTATTGACTGCTGTTAGTGAAGAAAGTTCACCAAGAATATGTATACTCCCTGTCAAATTGTTTGGGGATATATCCAGCCTTTACAGCTTTTGTAACTTTCCTATTTTAAAAGGAATCTCGCCTATTAATTTATTTACGCTCAGATTCAACTTGTATAAGAGATTCAACAATGATCCAATTGATGTAGGAATTCTCCCCCAAAACATATTTCTTCTAAGTTATAGGTTAAGAAGCTAGCCATATTCTGATAAGAAAGATGGGATATCCCCTCTAAAAGGATTATCTCTTAAAATTAATATGGTTAACTCTGTCTAGCTCCTCATGCTTGATGGGAATGAACCGTTAAGAAAATTGAATCCCACATCAAATATTAGCATTTTAGTATAGTATGACAGCTTTGTTGGTAAAGCGCCTTCTACTTTGTTGTGAGCAAGATTCAAAACTTGAAGGTTGACAAGATTTCCTAGCTTCAAGGGTATGAGCCCTATAATGTTATTCATGGACAAAATTAAAGCAGTGAGATTTGTGCAATTTCCCAAACTTGATGGAATTGATCCACTAACATTATTCTTGCTGATGTCTATGTATAAGATTTTGATTACCTTCAAATTCAGGAAGAAACCCAAAAAGATTATTTTCGTTGAGAACTAGCCTCCTAAGAGTTGCACATTACCCAGATCATAAGGTAAGCCCCTTTGAAGTTGATTACGACCTAAACTTAGTATGCATAGTTGCTTTCTAAAACAAAGATTTGGAGGGATATTACCAATGAACTTATTATTCATCAAGTCCAACTTGATTAAACTACTATTGATTCCCAAGCTTTGAGGAATTGATCTAGAGAATTGATTGTCAAACAATGAGATATTTTCCAGACGCTTGAGCTTAGCAAGCTCTGAAGGTAATTTCCCTGAAAAGCTATTATTATGAAGAAGGACATGCTTAAGATTTTACATCTTCCAAATGATAAGTGGAATTTCACTTGTCAAATGGTTGGAGTACAATTCAAGGTCCTCCAATTTAGTCCATCCTCCCATTCATTTGGAATTGTTCCCCCCAGTTGATTGGAATATAGATGTAACTTCTACAAAGATCTGTAATTGCCAATTTCTGGAGGTTTATTTCTAGACAAATAGTTCTCAGGAAGGCAAAGAATTGAAATATTTAATAATAATCCAAAGGACAAAGGAATGCTTCCAACTAAGTTGCTCTTCACAGCAGAAAGTTCAGCTAAATTGCTACAGTTGCCCAAGCCTGAGGGAATACCTCTACTAAATACATTGAAGGACAGGTCCAAAATAACTAATTTGCCACAACTTCCACAGCCAAGAGGGATGGTGCCTTGAAGACTATTGTTTTTTACATCAAAATACGTAAGATTCTTGAGATTGTTCAAACTTTGAGGCAGAATTCCTGTCAATTTGTTATCATTCATAAATAGTGCCTTTAATGTACTGCAGTTACCTATGGAAGAAGGAATTATCCTTGACAATAGATTATTGGATAGGTTCAACACTAACAGTTTAGTCGTGTTCCCAATGTTGGATGGGATGTGACCAGTTAGATTGTTTTGTTGCAGGTCAACCTCCTCCAATTCAGGAATTTGAAACAAAGAGTTAGGAATTTCACCAGTGAGCAGATTAGAAGATAAACTCAGATACCTTAAATGTCCCAACTTTTCCAACATATATGGTATGTGTCCATTAACATAGTTATCAGAAAGATCAACATACTCAACTAGACTGCAGTTGCCTAACTCTGGGGATATAGTTGTGAAGAAACCATTTGTCGCCAACAAAAGGTTCAGCAAGTAAGTCAACTATCCATTTTTTACTCCCAGTTTACCAGAAACCTGGTATGTAGTGAGGTTTAGGAAGACCACATTGCTGTATTGGTCGCACTGTATTCCTATCCATAAGCAAGGCGTAGAATCAGTGGACTTCCAGCTTGACTTTAAGTAAGGAGGCACAGAAGTCCAGTGGTTGACCAATGACAACAGAGTCAACCCATCTGAAGTCAAGGCAGAAGCAACATATAAAGGGGCAGACAAGCATAGGATAAGTAATAGGAGTTTCATAGGGAAAGGGGAAATCTCTTGCAAAGGAGAAGAAAAGGGATGACAAAGAGATAGCAAAGGTTGAAGAGGGAAGAAAAACACTTAAATTGCTGCAACACAGGGCAAGTGCAAGTAATACGAGGGGTGTGGATAAGTAGATGTGTGCTTCTAAAGAGAAAATTGATTAAATGTGAATAAGAAGTTTAAGAATCAAAAAATTGCTGTGGCCTCTATCTCATTCAATGACGCTTACCTCTCTAGCTACCAATGGAAGTATATCAGACCTGTTTCTTTGAAGTTTCACAGGGAGGAAATTAGAAGGACCGGATCTCAAAAGCTTTTGATGAAGGCAGGAACATAAGTGCAGTGTTTTAAGAATGACAACAGAGTCAACCCATTGGATCTTATAGCAGAAGGGACATACAATTGAGCAGAGAAGCATAGAATCAATAATTGGAGTTTCATTGAGAGATAAAATAAAGCTCTAACTGAAAGAAAACGTTAATGGGAAATGATGTTAAAGTAATCAGAGGACCAAAAAGCGTTTATCATGCTGCCTCTTGAAAGGAGTAAACAAATGCAATATGCTGCGGGCCCGTGTCTATGGAGTTCTCTCTTTTTCTTTCTATTCACCTCAACAGCCCACCTTTTTCTTTGGCTCTTCACTTTAATAGTGGTTATGTTTTGAAAGATCTGTTTGACTGTTTCAATCTTTTTAATCCTTTAACAATCTATTAAAGAGAAGCTTCATGGGTGGAAAATGAGAGCAGAGAGGACAAGTATAGTGATTGAAATGGAAATGGGCAAGCTTTCTGACGGAATCTTGATTGATGTGGATTAAATTGATATCATATCCTTACCAATGTCTATTCATCAGAACTATTAATACTTTCTAACTTTTTTTTTTAAACGCTAATTCTAGAGGAGGGGAAATACTATCTCGCAGGTATTGTAATTAGCCCAAAAAAAAAAAAGTGAATGTGATTTTCTAATTAAGTCTAACTTTTTAAGGACATGAAATCAAAAGATACTTACACTTTGTACTATGAATTTCAGGTATTTTCTGAAACTTCGTGGCAAGGGCTAGAAATGCACAATACTGTACGTAAAACGGAAAGGGGAGTTTGATAGACCGAAAAGAAATCTCTTGCAAAGGATAAGAAAAAAGAAAGGCACTGAGATAGCAAAGGTTGACGAAGAAAAAAAAAGCGCTTACCTCGCTGCAGCTTAGAACAAGCGCAAGCAATTGAAGGAAGTTGATGAAATGTGAAGCAGAGGAAGCTTCAGAGTAAAAGCGTTGCTGGGGTTTGTCAACGACGCTTATAATTTTCTTTTTCTTGTTTCCTGGAGATGCTATATCAACGACGCTTACCATTCTAGCTACAAATGAAAGTTTGCTAGGCCTGTTCCTTTGAAGTTTCACTGGGGATTTACAAGAACAAGATCTCAGAAAGTTGAGAAAAAAGCAGGCACATGAGAACAGTGATTCAAGAGTGATGGCAAAAGCAACCCATCGGAGAGCTGATAAAAGCAGCATTCAAGATTATATAACTGAGCAGAGGAGCATATCAATTTCTGTCCTCTTACTCCTCCGCCAAAGGCATAATAATAATAAAATCATGGTACAGTTGACTGTAGCAACTTAAATTTATTTGAAATCATTGTAACACGCTGTATCCACCACACAACAATTATATGCACACAAATTTTGATTGGGTAGAAGCATAAATGCACGTAAAAATTTATCCCCTTTAACCACTTGGGATTTGATCTTGGAGTAATTAATTTTTTTATTTAAAACTTGTATATAATTCTCCTTTCAAAATATTTAGTTATTTAAAATTAAACTTTTTTTATAAACAGTTTAAATGTGAAATATTTAAATTTATTATATACTCCCTCTGTTTAAAAATATAAAGCATTTTAACCAAATCTCACCCCAATAAAATAGTTACTTACTTTTAAACTAACCCTATCATTTTATATTTATCCCTATTAAACACTCTATAATAAATATAAAGTCACTATTAATATGAGCACTTTTAAAAAAAAGATAATGATTATACTTCGAAAGATTAAAAATGCCTTACATTTTTTAATATTTAATTCCTCAAAAAATGCCTTACATTTTTAAATAAAAATAATACATTATTTTAATATATATGGGCAAATGAATTTTTGTGGGAGGCATAAATGAAATTTTCTTGGGATTAAGTTACATTTTGCTATTATTGTCTTTGCTCATGAAACTCCTCTTTTCATTTTACATGCATGTATAAAATTGGGATACAAAATTGTATATCCTAAATTTGTTAGAATAATAATAAAATGTCATTTAAGGACCAAGCAATTTTAGAATACTAAGTAGGTCCCATGGTACTTAAGTAATATTTTGTCATTATCCTAATAAATATAATTTTATTATGGTGAATTTGTAATTTATTCGTCTAATTTTAATAAGGAATACAATTTGTAAGTTTAACTTCTAATTTTGTAATTTTAAATTGATGAATTTACAATTTATTATTTAGCTTTTAAAAGGGAATATAGATGTTAATATTTAAATTTGAAAAGTAGTAAAATTATTATTTTAATAACTTTAAAAATTTATAAGTTTAATTCTCAATTTGTAACTTTAAAAAAATGAATTTGCAACTTATTTTGAAATTTTGAAAGAGAACACAAATACTGATATTTAAAGTTGAAAAGTAATAAAAGGCATGTTTGAAGCTGTTTTTGTTTTAATATTCTAAAAATTAGTGTTTTATATAACATATTTTGAGAATAAAAATAGGTATTTTTTTTTTTTTTTAGAACAATAATCTCTAAACACTTAAAAAATGTTTTCATTTTTTTATTTTCTAGAATAATATTTTATTTTTTGTTCAACAAAACACTTTTTAAAAATACGTTATCAAATAAATTTCTTTTTTATTCTAGAAAACGAAAAATTACTTTCAAAATAAGTTGCTAAACAGGTCCAAAGTCATTATTTTAATAGTTATAGGGACTCGCAAGTTTGAATCACAATTTTACAACTTCAAGCTAATAAATTTATAACTTATTTTTAAAATTTTAATTATATATTTAAAAAGATATTTTAGGTAATTCTTTTATAAGTCAAATTTGTCGAAGGAAAAAAAACACATGAAACTTTGTTGATATTATGAAATTAATTAAAATTTAAATTAAATTAATTGATCACTTTAAATTTAGTTGTCATTTTTCCAATTTTCTCAGCAAAGGAAGGAGAAAGGTGATTCTTCATCCAAGGTTCATGCGGACTTTTTGTTTTTAGCGGCCGCAAGTGCTATGAATGCACTTATATTTTTCTTTCAAATTTTTGAACAAAAAAAAAAGTTTTTTGACAAGTGTAGCTCAAGATAACCCTCAAATATCTTTTTTTTTTCCTCTAAAGGGAAAAAACATTATTTTTTATCATTAGGAAGTTTATTTATGATAATTTAGTTCTACATCCGCCTCAATTTACAAAATACTTTTAAATAAAATCATACATTATAATAAAATTCATTAAGTACAATTTACAACATTATTTTTTAAAAACAAAAATACAAACTTCCAAAATATCTTTCATTTAATATTTCATTAGTGAAAAATATTAATAACAAAAAACAATGGGAGAATAATATTGAAAAAGCATAATTAATAAGATTTTATTTTTGTTAAAGTGTATTAAATTTTGAAATATTGATTTTTTTTAAATGTCTTATAAAATGGGAGGAGGGAGTAATTTAAAGCCTAAGTTGAACAAAGTTGTAGCAATGTTGCAGAGCATAGATAACAGAGTATATCCTAAAAGGATTCTTTGAACATCTCCTATCCTAAGAATTCAACAAAAGCACAGGACATTCCTTACCATATGCGTATAAAGTCATAGGTCACAACCAATTTGCAAGACTGAGAACTCAGAATGACATTAAGGGCATGTGGTATGTAGAGATATAACATTCAAGTGATGTTACCACATATCATCAGTAAAAATTTCCGAAGCTATAATTTGAAAGCATGTAATTTGTCAGATTAATCATTAAACAGTATAGGTACACAAATTTGAAACTTTATTTGACATTCTAAATTTGCTTACATGACAAGGAATTGACCATTGCAGTTTCTTTTACAAAATTGAAGGAGTTAATTAGAACATGGAAGCTAGCTGCGCAAGTTACTTCACTGCTTGAGAGAAGAAACAAAGTAAAATCATGTGCCTTACATGGGTGGATCAGCTATGGATTAAGGAGTTGGAACTTGGAAGCTTTCTTTATCTTGTAATTGCTTGGTAACATCTCTCATTGTGGGTCTCATGTGTGGATTCTGCTCTGTGCAACTCAGAGCCAGCAAAAGCAATTTGGTAACTGGTTCAAGTACATCTGAATTCCTCCTAACCTCTTCTGCAAGGCTTGAATCAACAATTTTATGAATGTCTCCTGTTTCCTCCCACAGAGTTCTAACCCAAATTCCTACCTCAGTTCCCTCCATAAATGATAGATCCATTGCCTTCTTTCTGGTTATTAACTGAAGCAACACTACCCCATAACTGTAGACATCAAACTCCCTAGTATTTGCTGTTGTATATGCATTCTCTGCCACGGATTAACGGGAACATGTTATTTTATGTAAGCATTCAGAAATAAAAAAGGAAGAGAATATTCATATTCATAAATGGGTAAAAGATGTACGTGGTGATATATAACCTAGTGTGCCTGAAACAGGTGAAGATGGTGTTGAAGAAGAAGATTGATCCGAAGGCTTGGCAATACCAAAATCAGCTATATGGGGCTCCATATCAGAGTCCAGAAGTATATTTTTTGCTTTGATGTCACAGTGCACTATGGCGGGAAGGCGCACATAGTGGAGATGAGCCAATCCTTCAGCAATTCCAGCAGCTATCCTATAACGGACATTCCACTCCAGGGATGGAGGTGGGTTCGTTTCATGTAAAACATCATGAAGGTTTCCATTTATCATGTAATTGTACAAGATTAGACAATAGTCCTTTGTAAACGAAAAGTCTAGCAATCTGACTATATTTGGGTGCCTAATCTTTCCAAGGATTTTAACTTCTCTAACTATGCTTTGGATCTTCCTTTTGTTCCCAGCAAATGCTACCTTCTTTACTGCATAAACTAGGACTGGACCTAGTGGAACTTTATAAACAACTCCATGAGTTCCTCTGCCGATGATATTCAGATTGTTTGGGTTTGTATTAGCGTCCATCAGTATGTGAAGAATTGGGAAAGAACCTTCACTGGCAGGTATATCGACTTCCTCCTTCGAGATTGGAAATAGTTGCATTAAATTCTTTTAAAATATTGCAATTCAAAATTTAAGGGATGCTTCATGAAGAAGATTAACAAGTAAGAGAGGAGAAAACATCATCTGATATTTAAGGAAAAAGCTTTTACGGAAGCAACTATTATCAAAGATTTTGGGGGGGGGGGGGTGTACAGAGACAGTATTCATAATAGATGAAGAAAAATCTATATGGGTAAAAAGGGATAACAACCAGCACAGGCATCACAATGACCTCACCTCAGACTTTCATGCCCAGCCTATTCATTAGTATCCATATGCTATCAAAGAGGAAAGATGTGTTACATGGGAACTAGGGGATAGGGTCAGTTAAATAATTTGCTAGGAACCCATCTAACTACTGTTAGTATAAACAGGGGAGAGAGATGCAAATCCTGGCATGAAATGAATAGTATTTTGGCATTTAATTTTATGGAGGTTATTGCCATGCATCCAGCTGGTTGGATATAATTATATTCTACATAATTCTCTAACGTTAAAACCCTACTTATCTGAAGAAAAAGCACCAGTTGGAAAATTTTCAAATTATCTACAAGCAATGAAAATGAGATAAATAATGAATACTCAAAGTAGAACTAAAAATTAAAAAATAATACTTAAAAAAGAGAGCTACTTGATGGTAGTCTCGCCCTGCTAATCAAACTACCTCAAAAAATATGGAGGCTGCTGCAGTAGCAAGAGAATTCCCCAAATGAAATGAAGCTCTGTCGTGTTGAACAAAAATTCCTGTATAAATTAGACAACACAGAAGTCTCACGGCCCTTCCGATAACTAGAAATAGCTTACATATCAAACCCTTGTGTTTTATAACCATCTTAGGAGTAATGATTAATGATAGCAGAAAGGAAGCGTGATTATTTTTGTGATTTCCTTGTTTCTTTCAGGACGTGTCATTAGATGGAATTAAGCACTAGCGTAAGATGTGTGGTCAATCAAACAGTACTTCACAGATACTGGATATCCAAAGGGGTTAAGAGAATATAAGGAAGGCGATGTAGAAGAAAACAGGGAGAGAGAAGGCTAACAAGCCAAGAGGTTTTAATCTAACAAATTCTTTTGTGGGAGAATGGCATTTATGATCCTCTTAAGGAAATCTATCGCATTAAGAACGTATCAGATATTATTTTGTAAAAACACGTATATGTTATTGCTAAAAGCTCAACCTTAACTGATAGGCCCTAATTATGACAAATTCTCTTAAGGGGGCTGTAAATGTCATTCTCCCTTCTTTTATTGTAAATATGACTTCATGGAAGTTAATAGCCCTTGTCATTGTCGATTGGACACAAGTCCTACCTGGATCAATGGATGTTTCAAAGAATTCAGCAGCATCTCTCATTTTCAGCCTCTTTCCTGGATTTGTCTCAGTACACATTAAAGCCACCAAAAGTACCTTCATAACTTGCACCATTACATTTAAATCTGAAATCTCCCTTGCAATGCTTGAATCAACAATCTCTTCAAGTTCTCTTGTTCTTTTCCAAATAGATTTAAACCACACTACTAAAGTGGTTTCCTCTTCCATAAATGAGGAATCCAATACTTTCTTCCTTGTTATCAGCTCAAGCAAAAGCACCCCATAACTATATACATCAAGTTCACAGCTCGTAACTCCCAGACATGCTATCTCTGCTAAGATAATGTAAACATGTAAAATTGGATGAAATATTATACTTTTCATATATTTTCAGTTGGTTTATGGGATTAGGGAACCAGTAATTTCCCGATGTGGATGGTGAATTGCTTTCCCTTGACAATTAACCCACAAGCCTTTACTGTTAATTCATCATCTGCATAAATAATGGACCCATTTGTTTTAGCTTATTTTATAAAAAAAAATCACTCATTTTTTGAAAAAAAATCTATTTTGTGATTTTTTAAGATGTTTGTTTAAACTTTTGAAAATAATCAGACTTTGAAAAAAAAAGTATATTTCTGATTATTTTAAGAAGCTATTTTGAGTAGCTTCTGAAATAATATAATGCGGTAGATGAGATAGCATTTTAAAGAGGCAGGATATGTAAAGATATAATAAATTTTTAAAATAATATAATAATAAATTATTTTTATAAAACAAAAAATCAAGGAAGATATCATAAAATTTAAAAATAACCAGCTAATAATCACCTTTTTATTATTATAACCAAACATAAAATATTATCTGCTTTTTATAAAATATCTATAAAATAAATCTGTTTTTATAAAAAGGGCCAATTTGTTTTAGCTTATTTCATGAAAAAATCATTTATTTTTTTTAAAATTATTTTATAAGTTTTTATGATGTTTGTTTAAACTTTTAAAAATAATCAAAATCTGAAAAGAAGTAGATTTCATTCTTTTAAAAAGCTATTTTGAGTAGCTCCTAAAAATAATGTAATGCGATAGATGGAAGAGAGTGTTTTAATGAGGCGAGATACACTAAGATATCATAAAATTTTAAAATAATATAATAATAAATTATTTTTATAAAACAAAAATTAAGAAAGATCTCATAAAATTTAAAAATAACTAACTAATGATTGTTATTTTTATTATTGTATCCAAAGATAAAATAATGTTTGATTTTTATAAAATCTCTACAAAATAAATCTCTTTTTAAAAAATTTATAAACTACATAAAAATTATTTATTTTTTAATCTTAAATAAACGGGTCCAAAATCTCTAAGCTACATAAAAATCACTTACTCCCTCTATTAAAAAATGTAAAGCATTTTTAATCAAACCTCACCCCTCAATAAAGTAATTACCTACTTTCAAACCAACCCTATCTTTTCATATTTACCCCTATTAAATACCCTACAATAAATATAAAATCATTTATCAATTGGAATACTTTTAAAAAAAATGTAATAATTACACCTCAAAAGACTAAAAATGCCTTATATTTTTTAACATATAACTTCTCAAAAAATATTTTATATTTTTGAACGGAGGGAGTATTTTTAAATATTAAACAAACAGGCCCATCATCTTCTAGGGATGAAATCCATTCTAGTTTTATTGAGAGAAAGGAAACTAATCAACCAAGTGCTGAACAATAGCAATTACCTGGTGCCATAAACCCACGAGTACCTAGATGATATGTTGACCGCAAACGTGCCAGAGCAAACTCGTCCAAAGTAATGGAAATACCAAAATCACTAATGCAAGGCTGCATATCAGAATCAAGAAGTATATTCTTTGGTTTGATGTCTCGATGCAATATGGGAGGATCACAGTCATGATGGAGATATGCCAATCCCTTTGTTATTCCAATAGCAATCTTATAGCGAACATTCCAAGCTAAGCATGTTTGTGGATTGCTTTCATGCAAAACATCGTTAAGGCTTCCATTTTCCATGCACCTGCTGATGGTTAGACCATATTCTTCACATATCCAAGAGCCTAAGCATCTTGCTAGATTTTGATGCCTAAAGTTCTTAGTCATTTCAATTTCTCTGACCAAGTTCAATTTCCTCCTATTGCTCCCTGCAAGTTTAACCTTCTTAACAGCAAAAACTCCAACACCAAGTTCAGCTTTATAAACAATCCCATGCCCTCCTTCACCAATTATATATCGATCATGTAGAAAATCTGTAGCATCCATTAGGTCAATAATTCTAAAACCCCCCTCGTGATTTGAAAACAAAGCCTCTTGCTCTTCACAGTTAACATTGACCTCCATGTAAGATATTTGACCAAACTGGCGGATGTAAATGACAAATGATAGGTAAATTACGCTTGACAGGAAAATGATAGATGACCAGCAAATGACAAACACTATTAGTCCAAGTACTACTAAATTCGAATGCTTGTTGCCTTCTTGGTCAGTTGAATTAGTGGCGCATGGCTTCAAATGGCTAGTTTTTATGCAACTCGGGCCATCTGAAGTCGAACAACTAACACAAAGGCCAGGATTGCCAAAGAATGACGATGGATATAAATCCAGTAGTTGAATCGTCCTTTCTGGTAAAGGACCGAAGAATGAGTTGTAAGATATATTGACTTCTGTTAATGAAACAAGTTCACCAAGAATTTGTATGCTCCCTGTCAAACTGTTCAGGGATATATCTAAACTTTCTAGCATTTTCAACTTCCCAACGTCTTGGGGGATCCCAACTGTTAATTTATTAGCGCTCAGATTCAACTCATACAAGTGAACCAATGATCCAATTGATGCAGGAATTGTTCCTTGGATCATATTTCCACCAAGTTGTAGCTCGAGAAGCTGAGCATACTCTGAGAAGAAATATGGGACAAACCCACTGAAATGATTCTCTCTTAAAATCAATCTGTTTATTCTAGTCCAGCTCCTTATGCTTGATGGGAATGAACCATTAAGAAAATTAAATCCTACATCAAATGTAGACATTTGTGTACAGTTTGACAGTTGCAGTGGCAAAATACCTACTAGGTTATTGTGAGCAAGATTTAAAACCTGAAGTTTCACAAGGTTTCCTAGCTCTGAGGGTATAAGACCTATAATGTTATTCGTGGACAACATTAAACCAATAAGATTTGTGCAGTTCCCCAAACTCGATGGAATTACTCCACTGATGTTGTTCTTGCTAATGTCTATGATTATAAGATTCTGATTACCTTCAAATTTAGGAATAGACCCTGAAAGATTATTGTCATTGAGAACTAACCGTGCAAGAGTTGCACACTTTCCCAAATCTTGAGGTATGCCCCCTTGAAGTTGATTAAGACCTAAATACAGCGTGCGCAGTTGCTTTCCAAAACAAAGATTTGGCGGGATGTTACCAGTGAACGTATTATTCATCAAGCTTAGCATCACTAAACTACTATTGATTCCCAAACCTTGAGGAATTGGTCCAAAGAATTGGTTGTCAGACAATGAGATATTTTTCAGATGCTTGAGCTCTGTCAACTCAGAAGACAATTTCCCGGTGAGGTTATTATCATGAACAAGGACATGCTTGACACTCTGAATCTTCCAAATGGTAACTGGAATTTTGCCTGTCAAATGGTTGGAATACAATTCAAGGTCCTCCAGCTGACTTAGTATTCCCAACTTATTTGGAATTGGTCCCTCTAGTTGATTGGAATACAAACGTAACGACTTCAAAGATTTGCAGTTTCCAATTTCTGGAGGCATTTTTCCAGACAATTGATTCTTAGAAAGATCAATATACTCAAGCAGACTACAATTGCCTAACTCTGGGGGTATTGTTCCTGAGAAACCATTTATTGCCAACGAAAGGTTCTGCAAGTGAGTCAACTGTCCAATTTCTGGCCCAAGCTGTCCAAAAATCTGAGATGCAGTGAGGTTTAAGAAGACCACGTTGCTGTAGCGGTCGCATTTTATTCCTATCCAAGAACAAGGGGTAGAATCAGAGGATTTCCAGCTGGACTTCAAAGAAGGAGGCACAGAAGTCCAGTGGTTGAGGAGAGACAATAGAATCAGCCCATCCGAATTCAAGGTAGAAGTGATATAGAATGGATTAGACAAGCATAGGATAAATAATAGGAGCTTCATTAGGAGAAGAAAAGAGTTGACACTGAGATTAAAAAAAATGTTGAAGAAGAACAAAAAGTGCTTACTTTGCTGCAGCTTAGAACCAGTGTACGTAATTGAAAGGTTGTGTACAGCTTAGCGAATTTAAGTCTTACACGAAGATATACGACCTCAAAGTTGTCCATTCGTCGTCATTAAAGCCTACGGAGTTTAGTCATAAAAATCAAAGGAGGTTGGCAATTTAGAACCCAATGTTCAACAAAGATGTTCCGAGTTAGGAAAAAGAGGGGATGCTTTCACATTTGAGTCTTGACTTGTTGACTTGCTTTAGAGCTGGTAATACGGGAGGTCAACCCGCCAAATAATGACAGATTGAGCTGGCAAAGATGAAGCTGTTAAAATATCCCGGTGAGGTTGTCAAGAAAAATTATTTAAAAAAATAACAGTCAAATTATAATTGAATATAAAATTGTTGTGTTTTGGGAGATGGAGAGGGGAAAATTGAAAGAGCCAAATCTCAAGAAGTTTATACTAAAAAAGGTGCACAAGTCAGTACTTCAAGAATGACAGCAGAGTCAACCCAATGGAGCTTAAACCAGAAGCCATGTATAAGCAAGCAGAGAAGCATAGGATCAATAACTGGAATTGCAGTGAGAGTGAAAACAATGTGCTAGCTTAAAGTAAAAGCGGATGGAAATGACATCAATAAGTATTCAAAGGACCAAAAAGTGCTTCTTTTGCTGCAGCTTGAAAGAAGAATAAGCATGTGCAATCTGCAGTGGACGTTGATGGGTGTCACTTCTTTCTTTTTTCGTCACTTCAACAACCCACCATCCTCTGTTCTTTTTCTTTCTTTTCTAATCTTCACTTTAGTAATAGCAAAAGAAAAGTTTCGATCCATGATCTTTTAGCGCTTTATTTAAAGAGATGTTGAATGAGGTGGAAAGTGGGAGCAGTGTTGGGCAATTATAGTGATTGAAATGGAAAAGAGAGAGCTTTCACTTTCAAATCTTGATTGTTGTGGATTAAATAAATATCCTTATCCTTATCAATGTCCCTTCATTCACTTTCTAACTTTTTTTGGGGAGACGCTAATTCAAATAAACAAATGTCTCATAGGTATTGAAATTTGGAAAAACAGTGATATGATTTTCTATTTAATTATAACTTTGTAGGACACAAAATCAAGATATACTTGCATTAAGCATGAAACTTCTGAACAAAGACAAGATATGCACAATGCTTTATATAAAATGAAAACATAAATTTTACAGTGTGACAAAATAAAATAAGTATATTCAAGATAAAAAATATTTTATATTCTTACTTTAAAAATAATAAAATTTATTGAACAATGATAACAAAATGATAAACAAAAGAAAAAATAATTATACGACTATCAAAGGATCCTAATAAAGTAATCTGAAAAAGGAACCCAATATAACATTTTGACCAGACGAGGGCACGGGATTTTCAACCAAAGGCTAATTTTGCCATCATGAAAAACTTCAGGAAGTTTAGTCATGATAAATAAACTAGTTTGGTAAGTTAAAACCTGAGTTCATCGAAGGCGAGGCCTATTATGTAGTAATTTTGCAGTTGCAGGAGCATAAACAATAACAGATTATATCCCATTCAAGCAACTATTAGTGTACCCTTTATTTTTCCAAATGGGTTCTCTGAATATCCCTTAGGAAGTCAAGAAAAGTGCAAAACATAGCAGACATATAAGGCCGCAAATACGAGTTTTAGAACTCAGAATGGATATAATTTCAGTCCTCAAGAAGATATAAGAGAAAATGACAATTAAAAATCTTACAAGACCATTGATTACAATTATGAACCTCAAATTATTGAAATCCCAATAATAAAATATATTTCTTACCTAAAATTAAAAATATATGAGTTTATAAAGTTGATTTCAAGTATTAAAATTACTATTATAGATTGAAATTATTGTTAATCTCAAATAGTACTGGATAAACGGGTTACGGGCCAGCTCGTAGGTTAGTATTTTTGCAGGTTGAGTTGAGCTAACCCACCAAATAAAACGGGTTAAAAACCCAACTTTACCCCTAGCCCACAAAAATTTATCAATTTTTTTAACAATTTAAAATTTATATAATAAATATATATATATTTATTTCACATTTTAAGATAAATTAACAATTAAAGAACTTGTAAATAAATAAAAGAAATATAAAATTCAACCAAGAAAATTTATTTTGCTAAATTTTTACTATTAATCATCTTCTCGCCTAGGTGTATTATCTTTCTCACTAGGAAAGAACATTTAAATATAAACCCATATTATTTTTTTTAATGAATTTATATTTATGATTTCAATCAATAGATCTTATGAGATTAATAAATAATATACATTCAAAATATTTTTATAAAAACTAATAAATCATTGATTTGCAAACTATAATAAAAATTTTATTTTCAAATTGTAAAAAAGATTTATATTATATTTCACATGTAAAGAACATATTTGGGAGTTATAAATTATATATTTGAGAGATATTATCATTATTGTAGATTTATAAAAAGATATAATGTGATTAAAAAATAAAAAAATTATTCTTAAAAAATATGCTAGCCCGCGGACTAATCTGTTTAGCCTACTAGTTTTGTGGGTTAAGCTAGCCCAACCCATTTTAAAAAAACAAACTAATTTATTCAATCTAATCCGTCAAATTTTGTGGGTTAAACAAGCTAGCTCACGAGCTTAACCTGTTTTTTCGACTCTAATCTCAGTTGGAAAAACTAGAATCTAAACTTGAAAATGGTATTAACAATAATCTCAACTCATAATAGCAAATTCAATAGTCTCAACCCATATTAATTGGGATCCTTATTTTCCCCAATTGACATTAATAATAGTCTTAACCTATAATAGTAATTTTAGTAGTGTCTTTCCTTGACTTTCTAAGTAGTTTACCTATATATTAACAAGAATAAAAATTTACCAATGATTAACTTCATATCCAAAAGTGATTTTGGTAAATTTTTAAGACTATCATATATTCATAAATGTCTTTCAAAAGTTTTACAAGTTAATTTTAGTTTCACAGTGGGAAACAATACATTCCCAAGTGTAAATTTTAATTTTCCCAACCAAAATTAACAATAATCTCAACTAGTCATAGTAATTTCAATAATGTATTTTTTATTTGGGTTAAGATGTATTTTTATCTTTGAACTTTTTTTCGAAGAACATTGAGCACCCTGTACTGATATTGGGGTAACTTTATTCCTAAACTATTTTCTAAGAAACAAAAAATCCCCTTCTATTAGTTAGCCATTAATTTTTTTTTTTCTACCTTTGTGACATGTCCGTAAGATCTACATACAATGATAGTAAGACTCTGACTATGTTTTATGGTACTAATTTATCTATGAACTCTTTTTCTAGGAGCGTTGGGCATTCTGAAGTCTTATTCAAATAAAATTTAATAAATCTAGTTAAAATACTAAAAAATTTAATATTTAATAATTTAAATATTATTATTTAATTTAATAATTTAATATCATGAAAAGTCCCCTTAATTAATTTAACAAGTTGCGGTTTGTAAAAGGACAAGTAACCATTAAGCTCTTTATAAGTATTGACATGAAAAGTAAAAGCAAATTTTAAAATATAATAAGACTTGTTATTTTATAAATAATTACTTATTAAATTATCAATGGGACTTGTTAAAAAAATTTAATATGGAGTGGTTTTTATAAATGTTTACTTGTTTTTATTACTAAAATTTTACATATCAAAAGCTTATAGGAACTTGCTATTTTGCTAAAATTTTCTTATCAAGTTATCAAGAGAAATATTTAAAGCTAGTGACAGAGCTTTCATTTTACAAATAATTTCTCATGAAATTATTAATGGAGACTTGTTAAAAATATTTAATATAGAGTGGTTTTTATAAATATTTACGTGTTTTTATTACTAAAATTTTACATATCAAAAGCTCATAGGAACTTATTATTTTGCTAAAATTTTCTTATGAAGTCATCAAAAAAAATTTCAAAGCTAGTAACAAGGTTTGTCATTTTACAAATAATTATTTGTTAAATTATCAATGAAAACTTGTCAAAGAAATTTAATATGGAGTGTTTTTTTATAAATGTTTACTTGTTTTTATTAACAAAAGTAATTTGCATGTCAAAAGCTTATATGAACTTGTTAATTTACTAAAATTTACTTATCAACTTATCAAAAAAAATTTCAAAGCTAGTAATGAGACTTGTTATTTCATAAATGATTACTTATTAAATTGTTAATGGAAACTTGCTAGTAATAAAAATAAGTAAGCATTTATAAAAATCAATGCATATTAAATTTTGCTGACAAGTCCCTTTAATAATTTAACGAGTAGCTATTTGTAAAATGATAAGTAACCATTGAGCTCCTGATGAGTGTTGGCATGCAAAGTGTAAACAAAGTTAAATATATATATATATATATATATTTGCATTATATAATTGAAACAAATTTGTTAGCCTAATGGCTAATAATCCTTTTGGTGGCCAAGAGGATGTGCGTTCAAACCACACTTTGGCCACCTTAAAAAATAGTCTACCTCCTTTGTTGATCTGGTGATCGGCGTCGGAGCTCTAGTGGTGGTCCAACTATTGCTGTCGAGCTCAAATAGTAAGTCCAACAAGATGGTCTAGCCACCGGTTGAGGAGTTTTTTTATAAAAAAAAAGATTGAGGGGCAATTTTGTCTTTTCACATTAAAAATTAATTATTTTTTGGTCCCTTGGTACTGCGGTATAATTTCAAAATCATTTGGTACTTGTAAGTAAATAAATTCCTCCAGCAATCCTTGGTTGTAATTTTTCCTTAATTTTATGTTGTGTCATGTGGTTTATTAAATCATGGTAAATTTAAAATATTTGGTTTTATTTTTAAGTTAAGTAATAATTTTATATTTATTTCTTATATTTAGGTTATTATATACATATATAATTTTTTTAATTTAACTATTATGTCATCGATTTGACAATTGATCCAACTTGATTGGACCATGTGAACATTTTAAACTGCTTGTTTTTTTAGTTCAATATCTAGTCTGGTTATGAAAACATTGGTATATACTCCCTCCGATTCAAAATATAAGCAATTTTTAGAAAAAATCCATATACCAATAAAGTCCCCATTCCCATGAGAATTTATATTATTTTC